CTGACATTTAACTAATTCAAAAGTTATTTCAATATTTATTTATCTAAAACAAAACAAGTTTACTCTAAATTGATGTTGTACAGTAAAAAAATGTTCTTGTGTTTTCCATAAAGTGTATGTAAATATCTGGTTTCAATACACACAGCAATATATACTGCTGTGTGTTGAAATTCCTCTTGTTTTGCATAGAAATATACTGAACAACATACAAAACATAATATATAAAATAACATCTACCTGAGTTTTTCCGGTGAAATAAGCCCCTTATGTCCATTGTTACGTTCATCAGTACATAAGTGAAACTGAGTGCTTTATTAAGCCGTGGAAGGTAACAACTGAAAATATGAAATAAACACACATATAAGCAAAGACTCTCTAAAAAAACAGCATTGTTGTTGTTCGGCTTTTCATTTCGCCATTTGTTGATTCACTCCAAGAGCAAGTAACTACTATGGGTCACATGATCAGTTTGATATCAATCTTTTGTGATTCACTGTCATATTTACATTATTTGTACAGTACGAATGATTTGCTTTGGTACCTGGTCGAACTTAAGCTCTCTTCTTTCTGCCTGGCTGCACTTCTACAGCAAAAACAGGCAGCAGCTTCTCCCCCCCTCGCTCACATGCGTAAGTGCTGTGCCTAGTGCCTGAGCTCGGATCATACCAAAATTAGGGGGAATTTACAACTGTGCGCTATGTGCTTCGAATATTGTGTGTAGTTTTTGTTTTATACAGTTGTCAGTCAGGCATCTAACCATGAAAGAAATTACACTCCAAAAAACCCCGGGCTTCTGAAAAAATGCAAATCCCCCCCCCGCCCGCCGATGATTTACAATATATCAATGGCCAATTATGTTCCTCCTCCTCAACCTCTTCCTTTGCATGTCTTTGGATCCATTGTTTAAAACCTGAATGAGCTGACTTTGGCCCTTTTATATATATCCATTAAAGTTTGGCGTGTGATACATTTTGACTCCTAGTGTTTCCACTTGGTTAATTGTGTGCTAATTGAGCTCAAGATGTGCTGACTTAAGTTAACTTCATTGAATGCTAGTGCTTTCTAAATGACCACATGGTGTAAGCACTAAAAAATTTGGGGATTTGTGTGTAGTTTTGCAGTAACAGTTCACCACACCACATCTGACTCATGTGTTAAAGCAGGGGGATAGTGTTTAAAGTTCAGGGAAATGGGTGTGCTTTTTGAAAAATAGCATTATGGTTTGGAAATTTTAGCTCAAAAGATTGGTTATAGTATTTAAGCAATCGAGAAAAACTATAATTGTCTTGAGTTAAAGTTACACAAAGGTTTAAATATGTACTTTTAAATGCTACCAGCATATGCCACTTTTAAACTATTATTTCTGTAAATAATCATTTATGAAAAAAAGGATCATTTATTTAGTTTAAATATTGGACCAGTCATTGATTAAATATGTCGTTTTTCTTTTTTTCATCAGGTGCTTCCTCCCAACCTGGTGTCAACTTAGCAGGACTCGATGAAGCGAGCAGTGGAGTTATGTTGGATTGTAAGTCTGCAGGATGGTATCCAGAGCCTGAAGTAATATGGATGGACAGTGAGGGAAACCTCCTCTCTGCTGGACCTACAGAGACCCTCAGAGGTCCCGATGACCTCTATACTGTCAGCAGCAGAGTGACTGTGGAGAAGAGACATAACAACAACTTCACCTGCAGAGTCCAACAGAGGAACACCAACCAGACCAGAGAAACACACATATATGTTCCAGGTAGAAGAAAAACATTTAACTTAATAAATAAAATCCCTTTAAGGCAAATGAAGGTGTTGTGCTTTTAAAATATACTTTTTTATTGTTTCAGATGATTTCTTCGTGGTTCCAGCAAGTTGTGTTGTTGCTGTCACCTTTAATGTGATTTTCTGCCTCATATTTGTTCTTGCAGTTGCTATTTTTATGTGGAAAAACAGTGAGTTAATAATGTATTTGATTTATTTATACATTCATTTCATGTCAAAGTCTGTAAAACTGTGCTATTTTGAACTAAATGCATGTTAAAAAAAAGTGTATATATTTAATTTTTATTTGTTTTCCCACAGAGATGAAAATTCAAGATACTCGTATCACAGAATGTCAGTCTTTCCTGGAAGATTTAGGCAACATAAATGGAAAACTTGATGAAGAGTTAAAAGTGTGTGAAGAAAAACAAAAGAATGCAGTACAGAGGATG